TTCCGAATTCAATACTGTCTCACAATAAATAAAATAAAATAAGACATGTCCCTTATGTATCCCTTTATATTTAATATTATGCATAGATGCATGCAGTATAGTAAATATGTACGGACACAAGGTTATAACCTTATAACATATCTTATACCAGTTATACCGCAAACGAGACGTTTAAAACGGAATTTTCCCTTCTAGTTCTAAAGCATCATGTACCGTGTCACGACAAAATATCTTTATTTATCCAGTTTTTTTATTCTATAAACATGGTCACCATAATCTACAGAAGAGTACAGGTCATCATTTACAATTTACACTGGCAGTTCAGTGACGTGTTATTTAACAATAACAAAAACAGACCCTAGTATACTTACCTATATTATTATTTACTATAGACATTAGTATGGTAGATAATATGATTGCATTAAATTTAAGCTAAGTAGACACTCTATTTATGCATTGGTACAGTACGAACTATTTTTGTTACTTATATAACTATAGGTATCTATTAGAATTAGAATACCTAACTACCATAATTTATTAAAAATGTTAGTACATTGTTAGGTTTTTCTAATCAGCAGGTACTCAACACCCGATGTCCCGATAATGTACATAAAAATGTTATACCTATTACTATTCTCTAAGGACTATTATAACAATATTATTTACGTTTTTTATTTCGAGACTATATAATTCGTTGGAGGACAAATACAAAACTAGGTATTTTTTATTAATTTCTTCATCATTTGAAAATTTGTAAATACCCATTGGCTATTGCTTTTAACTACAAGCAATAAATCGATATATCGATTGACGATTATATCTTAAAAATCATAATATCAATGAAAACCTAAGTGCCTTAGATAATATTCTAACATATTAACACTATAAGACGTCTTCTAACCTTTAAATTTTGATTTTATAATAGGTTGATTCACTGTAATATCAAAACTGACAACACACTATTGAAACTGGTGAACGAAAGTTTACCTGCCGTACGCGTGTGAGACGAAGACAATAACACATGCGGGTAAGACATCCTTTTAAGTACAGTGTATCAGAATAATATACCTACCTTTTTTTTCTGTTTTTTACCGATGACACCGCTTTCGCATTACTTCCGCGACGCGGCCATCATATAAATACCTATACCTACTTATTATAACTTTAATTTTTAATGAAATTAACATATTTTTCACAAATTTAAAAAATATATTGTTCAGACACAGTGAATAAAAAAATTATTTTTTGAATACTTATAAAATAAATAAATTAAGTATCTGGAAAATTTTAAAAATATTTATCTTTCTTCAGCCATGTAGGTGAATGTCGTATGATATAATTAGTTACCTAACCCAGTGGATCCCAAACTGTGCTTCGCAATGGTTTACAAAGGGGTAACACACTAACACAAAAAATTTAGAAATTTAAAATTTGTTCGTTATTTAAAATGAATATAATATATTTCATGAAAACTTGAATAGTATAATTCACTGATATGTTTTCTACGTAAAATCCGATCAGAAAATCGAAGACAATTATCTAATTTTACAATTTTAGATAATATACGAAACGACGATAAATCGAAACGACCTCGTGACTTCGTCCGTCGTTTATTGTGTTTAAAATATTCATAGAAATATATTTTATATAAAATGTATTATAT